GGGTTTTCTCAGAGTACTTCGGTTTCCCCTGCCAATCTTCATTCCACCAAATTCTCCATCGTCATAATCAACCGAGGCAGGTACAATAGGCCAATCATTGGCCACCGTGCCGAGTGGACCCAGCTGGACTCCACCCCCCACTAAGCGAATTAAAAAAATGGTTCCCAGTAAGAGGTTTTCATAACCTGGGTTTTGCAATTCTGGTGTTTTAAGTTACGAGCTTTTGTTATATAATACCTTCTGGTAGGCACAGTTGACCTGTGAGTGTTATTAGTGCTTGAAAGGTGTGTGAAATTCCTCATATAGTTTTTGCAACCCAACTTTCATTAATGATGTTTTGAAGACACCAATTGCAGGGATACAGTATATGATGGGTGTATGTCACATGTTGAGAAATGTACTTATGCCCCATGGAAATCTGTACTCTTGTAAAACCATATTAATATGAGCTATTTTATGTTGCAGGAATTTGATGGTGCTTTGGATTGTATTTCATTAGCTGTAACTTGTTCATTCAACAAACGAGGCACATTGTTAGCAGTCGGATGCAATGATGGTCGTATTGTTATCTGGGATTTCCTTACAAGAGGAATAGCAAAAATTATCAGTGCTCATGTGCATCCTGTTTGCTCATTGAGGTTAGTGTGGTTTTAGGAGCATATACATGTCACTTATCTACACTGTACTACAAATTTTACTATGAATATTGTCACGTGTAGGATGGTACACGTGGCAAAATGACGGGTTCTAGTTTGGATTTATTGGCAGAATGGTTACACATGCTCTTTTAATTACACTATAGTGCTATAGGGCATGAAGGTGATCTTCCTGGCCAGAACAGTCACCATATTTGAACATCATTGAACCACTCTTGTCAGTTTTCGAGACTTGGAGTGAGGAACAGATTCTCACCCCCAATATCTCTAAAGCATCTTGGAGATATTCCTCAAGAGGAATGACATAAAGTTCTGCTAGGGACCATTCAAAACTTGTACAATTACATTCCAAGCAGGATTGCAGCTGTGTTGAAAGTAAAAGATGGTCAACACCATATTAATAAAAAATGTTTACGGTAAATGTAGTGTTTCCATTATTTTGCCGAACCCCTATATGGGTGTCTGTGTCTTCTTCCAGTTTTTGAACCACTTAATATGCTTTCATGAAGTTTGCTGTAAACCTTATGCCAATGGAAGTCACGCTCATATTTTCTTAATTTTGTACAGTCTGTAATAATGACATGGCAGACAGACTTACTAGATGGCAATGACACTAGTGTTACTTAAAAGAGGATCCAGAAATGGTGCATGTCAGTAGATATTTGAAAGTTATGCACTCTTATGCTTGTTTTTTTATTAAAGAATTTAAAACAAAATGGTGGCTGTTTGAAAACTATTGGCTGTTGGTTTTATGGTGGTACATAGCAAATTGAATTGGGCATGTGAGATGGTGTATGGAGATAGGTCATACAATCTCATATGTACAGATTTGGTGTGGAATATTTCTTATAAGTCAGTAATTAGAAACATAATAATTGTGCAAAACTGCGAGATTTTTCTGACAGATTTAACTCAGTCTGTGCTTATGTTACAACTTCTTCCAGAAAGGAAGAAGAAGCAATGAGATGAGTGATGATGATGATGATGATAATGATAACTGCATAATCTCTATTTATGAATATTTGCAGTTGCAAGCAATAAAGAGTTCTGATTTGACTAGAGTTTAATCATATGATGTCACATAGGTTTGGCAAGGTAAACCTTTGGCTAAATTTCATGCCTTTGATTGATTATAAATATACATCAACACTCCCACCCCCTCCCCTCGCCCCTCAAGAAACATTAATAGTAGAAGATTTGTAGGATAGGGAGATCTATGCAGTAAGTAGGCTTTGGAAAGTCCTTGTTATATTTATTCATTAAGCTCATACCTGGTAAGAGGGGAAGTTGTGCAAGTTTAGTTTTTACTAGGTGTGTGCTGTTTTCCATAGGCATAAACATATTCTGTGACAGATTTGGTGATAGATGATGGTTATGTGTTTAAAAGGCTTAAGTACAAGGTCATTGTATCTTAAAAGATTTTACCAGTGTATCCAAAGATTTTGTTTGATTTCCAGCTGGTCTCGAAATGGACACAAACTTGTGAGTGCATCAACTGACAACAATGTATGTATCTGGGACATCCTGTCAGGAGAATGTGAGCAGAAGTACCGATTTCCCTCACCAATCTTGAAGGTGAAGTTGAATGAAGTTTTAATGAGTCAGTTTATTTAGACCCCAGCATTTATTGATTTATTTAGTGCTTCTTGGTTATGTACCAGAGAATAATGACATAATTATGGATAAATCTGGAGTAATGTGGAGGGAAGCATTTGGCTTTTGTAAGTGATATAGGCATACACATGGGGAGAATGAGGAAAGCCATGAGAAGCCTGTTTTCAGGCCAATATTCAAATCTGCAGGAGTGCTAATGAAATCACCATGGTTCTTTAGTGTGTAAGTGAACGTTCATATACAGGTATAATGATAATTACTGTACATATACCATCACCAAATATAGTTAAACTTTTTTTTTGAATTATTTAATTTAATTTAATTAAAAATGCTCAAGATCGTCACATGTTGGAGTGACTGTAGACAGGTTTTGGGTTGGAGATTGGATTTATTGGACTCTTCGATACACAAAACTCATGGCTACACTATACAAATCACTGTCAGACACAGACTAGTGTTCTCAGTCTGTTACAGGCTCCACTAGCCGTTGCTTGGTAGTGGCTTCAGTGGCGGACGTTCTCCTTTCTCTGGGTTCCCAAACTATCTCCGACCTCAGTTACCAGCTTCTCACAACAGCTCACCATGACTTATCTGCAGCAGTCCTTTAACAAACTCACTAACTCACCAAACAACTCTTTACTAACCGACAAGTCAAAGTCAGAGCTACTTTATGACTGGTGGTTTACCACCAATCAGTTCATCTTGGTCCCAAGCCCCCTGAGGCTCACTGTTAGAGATATTTTCAAGTGAACTCTTGCAGTCATAGTCCATATATAACATCCTCTCTGACAAGAGGATGGGTTTGTCTCTCATGAATATGCTTGGACTTTTTCAACTGACTAACTTCTCCTGCTTGTAACATCTTGGTGCAGACAATGTAGATAGCGCTGCTCTGTTACTATCGTTGCCATGGAATTGTTGTGTTCATGTCTGTTGGCGGAGCTGTTACTTAAAAATGGCTGGTGTACAGTTGCTTATTTCATGGTCATTGCCTAGCAGTGGGTCTAAATGCCACAATATTATTGCGTTGCTGGTGCAGATCTGTGTGTTATATATATGTTATTAGACTGCCTCTGTGGTCTAGTGGTCAGACTTCTAGGCTACAGATCCAGAAGTCTGGGTTCGATTCCCGGCTGTACCAGATTTTTTCTGAGAAGTAGTAGGCCTAGAATGGGTCCATGCAGCCTCATGATGATAATTGAGGAGTTATTTCAAGGAAATAGCGGCTCCGGTCTAGAAAGCCGAATTTAAAGGCCGTGGGGATTCGTTGTGCTGACCACATGACGCCCTCTATATGCTAAAGTTTGCACTAAGATTCACCAACAAGCAGTGGTCGTGTGGTCGGTTGGTATAGTTCTTTTGCAGACTAAAATCATGAAGTTTTGTTTCTTTTTATATATATTATTAAATATGATACACGTACTTGTTTCAGGCCATGGAAGCCTTTGTGAATATTCAGTATCTATAGATGCAATCAAGTCACGTTGCTTATATAAATTTTGAACAGTTTAGTAATTAAAAATGTTGTATTCCATACTGACATCTTTTCCAGTTCTCAGGAAAAGTTATAGATATTATAGAGCCTGTACATTATCCTCGATATCCCATTTTCAAGTCTTTGTCTTTGTCTGTATTCTTTTGTCTGATAAACAGTGAGTATTAAAATGTTAAAACTAGAGCAAGTGATAAGAACAGCATTTACTGTTTATTTAATTCTTACATAATGCTTTGTTGTCAGGTTCAGTTCCACCCACGTAATGATAAAATATTTCTAGTGTGTCCGATGCGTCATGCAGCTGTTTTGGTAGATACTGATGGAGACCACCAGATTGTACCACTTGATGATGATGTAAGTACCTATGTGAAGTGTTATGGTGGACATCAGTGTAAATCACAGACTAAGTCTGACAAGCAAGATGCATGACTGATTATCGCCTGTTGCTTGCTTGGCTTATTCTTTGACTGCAAGGATGGAAGTAGTATTTTCTTTTGAAATATTGGTAAACTTCTGCCATACTATACCCTGTCACATACCAGAAGACAGTACTCTTCTGAAAGATTTAATTTTATAAATTGTCTAGCAGGTCAAGTATGCAGAATAATGAGAGATGATGGCTGATTTTATGAAAGTATGAATAATAAGGAATTGATGTGCAGAATTTTGTTTGAGATGTATTTGAATAGGGTAACATGAAGAGGTACTTCAGTTAAAATGGTGGTTTTATTTCTTCTGTTACCTGGATATGTGCATTGGTACTGTGTATCAAAATTTAACCGTGTGAACATGTTCTTCAGGAAGACATATGCATTCTTATATAAAGACAAGTAGGTAAAATTGTTTAGTGGATTGCAGGCCTCATTCAGGATTCTAGCATTCTACGATGGGGTACCCAAAAGAAACCGAACTAATATTTTTGTGGCCAGAGCTTTTGTAGTACTGCGTTTTGCCGCTATGAGCGCATAGAGCTAACATTCCTGAGTCGATAAGCCAACTACCGTTGCTTCAGAAGGTAAGGACTAGTTTCGGCAGAGTTTATAGTAACAACTGTTTTGTGTGATCGTTGTTTTTGCAATGGCTGATTTTCGTGAACAGCGTGCGGCGGTGAAATTCTGCTTTTTGCTCGGGAAAAGTGGAACAGAAACTCTTGAAATGTTAAAAACGGCGTACAAGGACGATGCTATGGGGAAAACTCAAGTGTTTGAGTGGTTTTCCCGTTTCAAAAATGGTGAAATGTCAATTGATGACAAACCTCGTTCTGGTCGTCCTTCCACGGCCCGAACACATGAAAATGTTGAAAAAATTCGTGAAATCATCAAGGAAGATCGACGACAGACCATTGAAGAAATTGTGGAGCTGTCGGGAGTGACTTGGAGCTCAGCGGCCAGATTTGTGGCAGTCGGGTGACTGGTTTTTCCATCATGACAATGCCCCTGTTCACACAGCCCTGTCTGTACGACAATTCTTGACCAAAAATGGTATGACCCCTGTTCCTCACCCTCCATACTCACCCGACCTTGCCCCGTGCGACTTTTTTTTTGTTTCCTCGAATGGAAAGAGACATGAAAGGAAAAAACGACGGAGGCGCTGTCAAGCATCTCAAAAGATGAATTTAGACAATGTTTTGAAAAATGGAATAAAAGACTAGACAAGTGTATTAGTGTAAGTGGAGAGTACTTTGAAGGGGATTGGAGGTTTGTGCTTAAAATTTGAATAAATAAGTTTAAAAAAAAATAAGTTCGGTTTCTTTTGGGTACCCCCTCGTATTTGTTTTGGTGATAACAATGTAGTTAAGATTTCTTCACTTTCTTTAAAGTAACACTACTCATGCAACACAGGATATTTAATTCAGTGCCACACACTTTCTTCTAAACATTTGTTTTGAAGATCATTGTGCATCTTATATTTGAGGCTTACTTTTTCAAAATCTTTGAGCTAAGTGAGTTGGTGTAGTAGTAACACTTGAGACTCATAGTCGGGAGATTTTACCAGTATAAATCCTGGCTGGGGCATCAGCTGTCCTGATTGAGGTTTTTGTGTTTATGTTTCCCCCCACCCCCACCTCTCAGCTGCTCCAAACAGATGGTCCTACTTGCAAGATGAAATTTTAAATGTGTTATAATGCATCACTGTTGTTTTGTTCCATTTATCCTTCTCATATAGCTTTAGGCATCACTGAAACTATATATGTATGTAGAATGATTGCAGCTGAGGTTTTGTTTAAAATATTCATTGCCCATTATACAATTTTAATGAGAGATCAGGTCAGCAAGGATCCTAAATTTTATTATTTTTTTAAATTTAAAATTTGTACTGAAGAACAACAGAGAGATTCTATTAATGTACCTCATTCTGCCCACCAGTGGCAATTTAAGTTTAAGAAATACAGATATGTCAGTAACAGACTTCAGCTGTATTACTGTGTTACAGCAATCAGATCTGAACATAGTTGCCTCCTTTGACCGTCGGGGACAGTATGTGTATACAGGCAATGCGAAGGGGAAGGTTCTGGTTCTGTCAACCAGCGATCTAGCCCTCAAAGCATCATTTAAAGTCACTCAAGGAACAACAAGTGCAACAGCAGTGAAGAGCATAGAGTTTGCTAGGAGAGGAGAGTGAGTGTACAATTAATATCTGCAATCAGGGGTATCAGGTCATGAAATTACATGTTAGCATTCTTGTTCTTAATATTGTATTTTTAACCTATTTTCATTTTTTTCAGGGAAGAAGATTGGCTTATGTGAATACCCTGTCTCTCCTTTCTCTTTGAACCATTTGACCAATTTTCCCAAAGTTTGATATGAATGTTGTACCATTAAAGGCCACATAGTGTTGGAAGTTTTTATTTCCTGTAATAAATAGTAAGGTAAAACTATCCCTGTAACAGGCTGTGGAGGCCTGTAGGATTGTGAGATGTCAAGGCTCCCTCATTTTCTAGCCAATAGGCTCACAGATGGCGGTGAGATTGTCAGCCATACATGCCAGCCACCCTTTATGCCCCAGGAAGATACTTGTAACTCATTTCTGTTAGAGGCTGAGTTGACTCTGGGTCCATAATACAGCTGGAAGGATTGGGTCAATTGAAAAATCCAGTGACCTCCTCGGGGATTGAGCCCACAACCTTCCAGCTAGTAGAGAGTCGTGATAGTGCAGTTAGTATAGCGACTGGCTATGGGCTAGATGACCAAGGGGTCAGAGTTTGGGTCCTTGTGGGGGAAGAATTTTCACTTCTCCATGTTGTCCAGACCACCTCTGGGGCCCTCCAAGCCTCCTATCCAATGGGAACTGGGGGCTCTTCCCCAGGCGGTAAAGCTGCCAGGATGTGAAGCTGACCACTCGCCTCCAACTAGTGCCAAGGCAAAGAAAACTTCGGTCTATACATCCAGCACCCCATAAGTCCTCATGGTGCAGTGCTTAATCAGTTAAGCTCAGGGACAACTTTACCTTATTTTACAATAAATAGTATGTGTATATATACATCCACTCCCCCATATGTCTTGATGACATTGCGCTTAAATAGTTAAACACAGACTTCTCCTCCTCCTCCACTTAATAATAATTAAATAAATAAAAATGTCTGGGTAGATGTGTAAGCTATTGAGGTGGAAGTAACATTTGTGCTGCTTAATATAGGGACTAGAAATGCTGTGAGGTCGCACATGCCTGCAAAAGAGAATTTTACCATTGGAAATGAACACAACTGTGAAGTCACTAACATGCTGACATGAATGAGAAGTGATCCTAGATTTTGCTTTTCTCAATCTTGTAAACTAATCTTAACTATGTAAGTTTTGAGGTTTTTTACGGCGATGACTATGAAGAAAGTCGTCTTCTGGGTTTTGGCGCCGTGTATTCTGCATTCACAAGCCATCACCTGCTCTGAAGATGGAGGCGATACGTTCCTCCGAAACATCAGCCAAAACGAAGAATACACGGCGCCAAACCCAGAAGACGACTTTCTTCATAATCTTAACTACTTTGCCACAGTTAAATTAGAAAACTGCAGTAATATGAAGAAACTTTGTAAAGGTCTGTAATGGCCAATAATTTGCAGAGAGTAGCAGTGGTTGTAATTGTCCTTCGGATTTCCCGATCAGCCAAACGGAACACAAATGGGTGATTCCTCATTATACTGGAATCCTATTTCTGAACAAAGATGGGCACTTACCGGGCAACATGTGTCACTAATCTCCATGTTCTGATAACAGGCTGTGCAGACGTGGTGAAATATTCATGTATCCATTCTCTGAGACATATATTATTCAAGTATATGTATATTCATGTATCTCAAAATATTTATTTGCTTAAAAAATGTGGAAATATGTGTTTTTAGGTGACATAAAACTGTAGTTAGTTATTGGAGAGGGTGGATTTCCCCATGCACGTAGACCAGTATTGGTCCATTGTGCTTCCCTTTATGATATTCTACCAGTCTCTATACCCTACTGATATTGGTGCGTACCATCAGTCCTGACCGAGCCAGCGAGTTTGGCCTCTACTGGCTTGGTGGTATCTGTAATGCTTCCCCCATCTATCAGAGGCATTAGAGACTACTGTTGGGCGGGAAATGTCCTTGAATTTAGCTCAGTGACCTCCTTTGGAGATATGAGGTTCTTTTACGTGCCGTAAAGCTACGACACGGGACCCACGTCTTAAAGTCCCTCCTGGAGGACTTGTTCCCTGAATTTTTCCGCCCATAAAAATTCCACGATCTCCGCCGGGTTTGAACCCGTGTACCACGAGTCATGAGGTGGGAACGTTACCTCTAGACTACGGAGGCTGCTCACATAAAACTGTAAAGTAATAAGCATAGTGATTTGAACATTACATTGATTTCTGTGAGGTTAAAAAACTGGAGATTTTTTTTTCACCTATAAATCTGTTCCCTATGTACATATAACAGTCATCACTTGAAAGTGAAACAGTGGTCTGTGGAAATTAATTTATTCTTTGGTTCCATTCAGTACATCAACCACGTTGAACTGAGTTTGCCCAGAGTTCCTCATGAGGGGTACCATGAAACTTAATTCCTGATGTGAAGCAGAAGGGAATAGATATTTCCTCTATCATAATACAGAGTTGTCTAAAGTTCTTGCCTCTCTCAAGAGCAGTTAACCACTTAACAATACCTGTGCTCAAAAGATTGTGAAGTTTAGACCATAAAATTGTTTCTAAGAAAGATGTCAAGAAGGTTCTGTTGTGTCCTGGTATAACAAAAACCATTTTGGTATGAGAAAATGTGATATTATGAAATGAATTATGAATCAATTCTAGGTGGTAATTGACTTCATTTGTTTTCTTTCTTTCTTGTAGCTGTTTCTTGATCAACACAGCTGACCGAGTGATCCGAGTTTATGACAGTAAGGAGGTACTGACTTGTGGCAAGGAAGGTGAACCAGAGCCCATTCAGAAGCTTCAGGACTTAGTCAACAAGTGAGCAGTATTCAGTCTTCTCAGTGAATGTTGTTTGCAGTTATGTAGTAAAATGCTGTATTGCATTCATCTTCTGGTCAACAAGTGAGCAGTATTCAGTCTTCTCAGTGAATGTTGTTTGCAGTTATGTAGTAAAATGCTGTATTGCATTTCTGCTTTAGTGTTTAAGAAAGGGGACTTCGTGCAGGAATAAGGTACTGGACTCTCATGCCAAAGGTCACTTTCAGTTTTCCGAAACCTAACTGCAGGCAGTGCTATATTTATGCAAGTATGAGATGGTATTGGAAGGTTCCCGGACTGTTGTTGTTTTAAGTGCCTTGGTGAAATAGATGAGAAGGCAGGCCAAGGTCACACTTCCAAAAGCCTATTGCATCAGTCTGCCATGTGACACTGTGTTGTGAACACACGTTGTTTTTGTACGAGTGCTTTTTCAACCTTCTGTTTTGTCTGCAATGGATGGCAAAATTGAGCAACGTGTCTGAATGAAGTGTTGCGTGAAACTCGATAAATCCAGCACCGAAACCCCTGAAATGTTTCGTCAGGGTTTTGGAGAAATTCTTTAGGCTGGACACCAGTTGTTGAATGGTATTCACGTTTCATGGCCAGCCAAGTGTCAGTTGAAAGTGAGGAACATTCAGGGTGACCAAGCATCAACAAAATGATAGAAAGTATTGAAAAACTTCAAGAACTCATCTAGGAAGACTGTCATTGAACAATCCATGAGCTTGCAGACACTGTTGGGCTCAGCTATGGAGTTTGCCAGACCTTAACAGAAAATTTGAGTGTGCTCTGCATCGCTCTTTCATCATTACAGTACACCCTTCCACACATCCCTGGAAACCACAGAGTCTGTGACTAACAACAACATGGTTATTGTACCCCAGCCTCCCTACTAGCCAGACTTAGCACCCTGTGATTTCGCTTTGTTTCCCAAATTGAAAATGAAACTGAAGGGACGATATTTTAAAACAGTGTCTGACATCCAAAAGGAATCACAAGCTGTACTCGATAGCATTAAGGAAAATAACTTCCACGGTGCTTTTGAATCATGGAAAAAATGATGGGATCACTCTATGCGTTCCCAAGGAGACTATGTAGAAGGAGATGGCAGCCAAAATTGAGTAAGTTAAGCCAGCATGTCTTTTTTTTACCTAGTCTGGGAACTTTCTGATACACCTTGTACATGTGTACAGTATGTCATACATTTTGCATTTTATTTCAGATTTTAAGTTAAAAATTGGCTTATGCATAGGCCAGGCTGTTTTTGTTCATGAAATACTGAAAACATGTATCAGACATTTCTTTTCGTGCATTGATTCTGTATATATGCAAGTTATAGCTGTCAATAAAATTGTGAGAGTTGAGGAATATGATGTAAGATGTTTAAACGTAAACATAAAGAATATGAAGCTCTTTGAAAAGAAACTGTATAACTAGAGTACAGCTTGATTGTAGAATGAGGCCTATAATGTAAATATTTATAACAGATATGGGATAGTCCCAATAAATGGAAGGTAAGATTTTAGGCTTTCACGGCGGTGACTATGAAGACAGCAGTCTTCTGGGATTTGGCACCGTGTATATGTGGTGTTAACCACATATACACTGTGCCAAATCCCAGAAGACTGCTTTCTTCAAATGGAAGGTGATTACAAACTGGGGAATTGTACAAAATCTTACGTACTGGGATCATAAGGTCTAATTAACATTTCTCAGTTTATTAATTGTTGAGTTATTACTCACTTACATGGAAACACTTGTATTATTTTACACTAATGCACAGTTTTAACAGTAATTCATAGGGCATTATTATTTTCCAAATCCCATCTGTAGTAGCTGAATACGTGACAGTATTTCCTGAACAATAAGATGCACACAGATTTTAGGGAGAATATCATATTTGGAGCATTGCTTTGTATGGGGCTGAAACTTGGACACTTAGGGCAGTAGATCAGAAACACCTGGAAAGCTTTGAAATGTGGTGTTGGAGAAGGATGGAGAAGATCAGTTGGACCGATTATGTGAGAAATGAAGTGTTATTTAGAGTCAGTGAGCAGATGAATATCCTACACGAAATAAAACGGAAGGCTAATTGGATTGGTCATATCTTACGCGGTAACTGCTTTCGAAAAGAAGTTATTGAAGAAAAGATAGATGGGCAGATAGAAGTGACCAGAAGACGTAAGAAGATGCTGGATGACCTTGGGGACAGAAGAGGATATTTTCATTTGAAGGAGAAAGCTCTAGATCGCATCAAATGGAGGAACTGTTTTGGAAGAGACTGTGGACCTGTCATCTTGACAGATTACTGATGAATGAATGAATGAATGAATGAATCATAGAAATACCTGCTGTACTGTCAGACTTAAAGAGTTCATGCAGATTGTATGAAACAGTTTCCTGCCGATCACAGTGGTCGTGTGGTCTAAGGCATCAGCTGTCTTCATTCACTCAAATGCTGGGATTGTGGGTTCGAATCCCACTCAAGGCATGCATGTCTTTGTGTGCCCACTGCCCTTTACCCTAAGGAAGATTCCTGGTACTTGCCAAGAATAAATAAATACATTAATTGCATTACTGTGGGGTAATTTTACATTGTCTCATTAATTGTGCATATTATGTGTTCTAGAACTATGTGGAAGAAGTGTTGCTTCTCTGGAGATGGAGAATATATATGTGCAGGGTCTGCACGACAACATGCTCTCTATGTGTGGGAGAAGAGCATTGGCAATTTGGTCAAAATCCTGCATGGAACAAAAGGAGAATTACTTTTAGATGTAGTAGTAAGTGTTGTTCATGAATAGTATGACCATTATCAGAGTTAATGTACAGTCTGAGTTAAATTTGGAAGAAACGTAAGCATAAAACTTGTGATATTGCTGTGATAAGCGATGACTTCCAAAACAGTAGAGGATTTCTAATCATCTGCTGATGTAAGACCTTGTTAATTTGCCCTTTCCGGTCGTCATGTTTGGAAAAATTTCTGCAGCCAGGTTATCAAGGGGGTTTAAATACCCACAGAGCTGTTTTGCTCAAAAAGTTGGTACAACAAGGGCATAAAGTAAAAAAAGAAAGCAAAATGTGTACTTACCAGCACAGTGCAAAAAGACAAATGCTCTGCCTTGTAGTGGTGTATGACAATCAAGTGTGGAGAGAGGTTGTAGTGTTTTACTGGCTAAAATTGTTTGCTCTTCTCTAGTATAAAATATATGCATATTCCTTCTTATAACTGTCATACTTCTGTGTACACAAACAAAACCCGATAAACTGTAGGACCTACACTAAAACTTTTTGAAGTTCTTGAGAGTGTGATATTTTTTTAAACATTCCCTAGGCTGGTTGATAGGTCTTACAATAGAAGTTCTGAAATTTTGTGTCTCGCATCCCTGTTTGTCTCTGTAACAATGTTATTCAAAAGCTCGTCATTGAAAAATAAACTAAAATAATTCATGGGCTCTGCATTTGGTAGAAGGTAAAATTTTGGCCCTGCATTTTTAGTAAATTTGTATGCCTTAGGTTTCTTGTCCCCTGTTGTCATGTCTTCCCATCCATCAACATGCATAACACTTGTTTCACTCTCGCTCTCACTTTCTGACATGACTTCCAGATGGCAGGAGAATGCAGACTAAACATTCATGAGCGCAGTGGTGTAGTATAAAGGGGCAAGTAGTGACATATGACCGACTTGTCATTGGAGAAATGCAAAAGAAAATTTTATTGACATTTGTCTTTGGAAGGACATGCTCAATGCTGATTATATATTGACATATGACGGGAAAGGAATAAAGCTCCAGTATTAATTTCTGAGTGATGATCAGAATTTATTTGTTTCTGTTTAGAATGAAAAATTAATTTGCCTTGCATAACAAATCTCTCATGGCACGCTGTTATTCTGTTTCCTTTTTCAGGTTCTGGTTTCAGTTTAACTGAGCTCTTTGTTTTGCCATATATATTGTAGGGGTTGACAGTCTCCTGTTTCATCCAAGTTAGTCTAGCATCACCTGATAAATGGATTTTATGCATTGTTCTACTTAATTCCACCCATGTTGCCACAGTATCGCTTCTTTCAAAGAGTGTGTGTGTGTGTGTGTTATATTCTAGTGGCACCCTGTGAGGCCAATTATTGCATCCATCTCGAGCGGTGTTGTGTCCGTGTGGGCTCAAAATCAGGTAGAGAACTGGTCAGCTTTTGCTCCAGACTTCAAGGAACTTGATGAGAATGTAGAGTATGAAGAACGTGAATCAGAATTTGATCTGAGCGATGAAGATAAATCTGTTGAGCTTGGCCCTGAAAAGCAGGAGGATGACTTAGAGGTAAAATGTTGTCCATATCTTAGTTAAACCTTACTACTAAACTGTTGTATGATTTTGAGATCTCAATTATATTATGAGAATAATGTGTTCAACAAGACTTTGTCATATTCTGTGAGTAAATGTATTTATTTAGTTATATATTTGCATACTTGTGTAATAATGGTTACAACAAAATAATCCTATACAAAGGACAAGATGTGACAGAGTGAAGAGAAATACACCAAATATTATTCATCCTGATCTGAATCAGTATGTGATGGTGATACAAGGAATGGGTCAGTGATTATGGTTGACTATAAGAGGGAAAAATTACCACTACAAGATGATCATATTGTCACAATTTTTTTTTTGGGGGGGGGTGACTTATAAGATGGGTTTTGGATTGGATTTATTGCACGTTATACATTCACACAACTCAGGAGTGCAATTGCTGATTTACTTTACTATTCACCTTTGCACATGCACTAGGATTCAGTCTTCACTAGTCATATCCTGGCAACAGATCTTTCACAGTCTCATTGTAACTTCCAATCACACGTGAAGTCTTTTTGCCATTTCTTCTCAATCGCCTTAGATTGCCATCTCCAGAACTCGGCCCATTCTTGACAGCTCAATTCAATTCCAAGCTCATATCCTGACAGGCTGGTGCCTCGAACTCGACTCTGTTCTTTCATTCTATGCTGCCGACCACTTCTTTATAACCACTTTGCGCAGACCATGCAGAAAACACAGCCTCTGTTATTATTGAGGTATGTTTACTGATCTCTTGCCTAGAAATGGACAGTCTATTGTTACACGCATTTGGTTTCATGGGAATGTGTTGACCGAGTTGTTGCATAGCAATGGGTATATACGTTACATTATTATTGATAATTTTAATAAAAGGTGATCGTAAGAAGACTTTGAGAATGATCCTCTGACAATCAAAATGTGTATCTGAATATGTAAGTATTGTCACATGTATTAGTGACTGTAGATGGGGTTCAGATTGGTAATTGGATTTATTAGATCTTCACTAGTTGTAACAGCACTTAATTATTACACTGTTGTGGGTTTACACAATTTACAGTCACTATATGCTAATCTTCTCAGTCTGTCTGCAGTGGTTTTCATGTATTTATAACATAGGAGCTATACAAGTCTCACTTGATCACACACTCCCAGTATTACACATAAACACAGAGTCTTCATATCATACTTAAGTCTTCACACACAGATCTTCTGCAACCTTCCTGTGGCTGTCTCCTATTGAGAACTCTCTCACTGTCACTTAAACATTCTGAAATACAGAAATCTGTTCTGCCTCTAACTGTCGTGATATTGCCTCTGCACTGACCACGCACAGAAAGCAGCCTATATTGTTGAAACATGTTTGCTGAACGATTGCATAGCAACAATGGTCGTGGCACGGACTCCATAGAAAGCCAGTCACATGATAGCTAGAAGTGTTGCAGTGTGATGTCATTGTGTCTGTGTGGAAGTTTATTTACTGAACTGTTGCCTAGAAGCGGGTTGCATAACCTCATTGAGTGAGCTTATATGACTGAAGGTTGTTTACAGGTCGTTGCCTAGATATGGTCTGACTAACTATCCACGTTACAATATAAATACAGTAAACCCTTGTCCATTTCTGCAGGGGATACATGTATCTGCATTGGACAGACTTCATATTGTATGTGATTGATGGGGATATGGGAACATGACCATAGGAAATATAGAAAATGAAACCAATAAAGTCATAAATATACTGTAATGATACTTATTTATGAGCATATTGTGAAATACAATAAAGTACCATCAGAAAGTTCAGAATTAAAGTAAGATATAAATGGAAAGTCAGACTTTGAAATAGAATATCAGTGTGATGTTTGGTACTAGATAAAAATGTTAGGCCCCAAACAAACTTCATATGTTATTACAAATAGTTTGGGAGACTGAATAATTACATTTCTTTTTACACCTGTATCATCAAATCCATGCTAAAGGAGGTTTGTTGTAAATAAATCTACTGATTGAATATGATAAAGACTTGTTGGACTTAATTGCATTGGTGTATCTTGGGAATGTTTACCATCAAAGATTTGAGATATGTTGTGTAACCTATGAATTGTTTGTTGCATCGTTACTGGATGGTAGAAAATATTTACATAATTGTATTTATAGGTAAGTAATCTTTGGTGACATCTAAAAATACAAGTGGTGGAAAGTGTGCATGTAAAGAAATTAAATGAAAGTTGTTAATCAAGTAAAAATATGATAAATATATAAAAGATAGTATAAAAGAGTACTAATGTTGTCCAGTGTGATTGATAAATGTTGTTTTTTTTTAATCTTTCATCCTTTAAATGTTTTGGTCGTAGTGACCGTCTTCAGAAGGACATTGTCAGTACATATGGAAACTACTATTACAGTGTCATTGGTCAAGTCGAATGGTAAATGTATTTTCAGATTGTAAACAATATATGAAGTGATAGTATACAGAACAAATCATCAAATGGAATTGCCCAGATCGTGATGTTCTTTTCAGAGTATCTACTTTGAAATGAAGTGTACTTCCACCATTTCTTTATTCATAATTGTAACATTTAGTAGAAACCATTCTTTTTTTGCATCTTTAATTTTGTCTCCATGGTCATAATGACATCTAGGTTGACAGAAATATCTCCCCCCCCCCCCAAGGTCTTTCTTAAATTCTAGAAAGAGCTGAAGGTCACAGGATATCAAATCTATGTTGTGAAAACAGTGTAGCACAACTATGTTTATGTTTGTGCATGTGTGTCTATATATATATACAGGATATAAATAGATATATGTTACAGTGCTCTTTGGTAGATAGATGGGTTCAATCTGATCATATTTTGTTAATACACCAATGTCTGGAAATGCTTCGTTTTTGGCAGTAAGGGCCACAAAAGTTTCTGAGAGGATGTATAAGTTTTAGGGGATGTTATCTTTGTTTTACATTATAAAAGTTGCTCAAAATGGCGGCCACTGACTTCATTGCATGTTCTGCACTGCCTGGCCATATTATGCTGAACTCTTTGAAAGATTTCCGACACATCCCGGATGGTTCCAGCTGCCACTGCAATTCTTGCCACAAGATCATGTTGTTTCTCCACCGGAGTCTCGTACACCAGGCTTTGCATGTACCCCCAGAGAAATAATTCCAGTGGAGTCATGTCAGAGTGAGGGAGGCAGGTTATTGGGCCTCCACATCCAATACATCTGTTGCCAAGTTTCATCCAAATACTCACGAACAATAGTAGTGCAGTGTGCCGGGGCACCATCATGCTGGAACCACATTTCACAACGGACTTCCCAAGGCACTACTTCCAGCAGGTCGGGTAAGGTCTCTTGGAGAAATGTTAGGTAAATGTTACCAGTAAGCCACAGAGGTAAGAGGTAAGGGTGGCGTCCTTCACATTTCAGAGGCCCTAGCACTTGAAATGTTTCTGGACATGGATGTATTAACAAAATATGATCAGATTGAACCCATCTATCTACCACAGAGCATTGTAAATTATATTTATTTACAGCCTGTATAAACTTGGAAAGTATGATACATGCAAGTCTATATTATCATGATGGAGAATGTCCATTTATTGTTTCTCGGGTCCTTTTCATCTGAAATGCAGGTAGCATTATGTGCAAAATATCTGTTTGCAGTAAATTATCATAACACTGCATGCTTGAATGTGTTCTAACAGACCATCTTAATCCCGTTTTATGCACTTCTTGTTTTTGTTTCTTTGGGTGTTGGAGAACCGGGAGCTTTCCATTGAATTCTTTGTTCAGAAGTGGGATCATAATGCAACATTCAGGTTCCATCAGTGGTAATAATGTTATGAAAAAATGTGTTGCTTAGTTCTTCAAAAGTAGCCTTAATTTCTTGACTCAGTACCCTGTTCGGGCTTCAGCAACCAGGGAATCCAAACAGCAGCATTCCCATTTGATCATAAGTCGGTGTGCAGAATTGAATAGGTACTACACAGTAAAATTGACAGTGCATCAGCAAGTTCATCAACAGCTGTGCAGTGGTTTTCTTGAAAAATAATTGCAGCTTTATTCACCAAAACATTGTTTGGGAGGTTGAAAGTCATCTTGTTTGATACACTACGGTTTCCCTGCATTTGCCACTGTGGTTGTATTCACCAGAAATTCAGTTTGGGAGATGGTCATCCTACTAGATGAACATCCAGTATGGATTCTCTACATTTGCAAGAATTTATGGTAACAGGAAACACTAGCATATAAGCATGTTTTTCTTACCATGAGCTTCTTTCACGGTATGGAACATTTATATAGCAGTGTTCCTTGAGAAAACACAATGTGATTGCAAAACACTGTCTCATAGTAGGGTCCATTTGTCTTCTTGCAGGCACAGTTCAGCATGTCTGCCTTTTACCAAATCGATAAAGTAATATGTTTGAGCTAAGTCCATTGAAGAAGGACTAGATTAAGTTATGTAGGTGGAGAAAGATGCAAAGCCATAATTTCAGTATCCAGTAATGGGTGATGGCTCAGTGCTGTTAGCTGTGTTGCCATTTACCCCCTGTAAAATAATGGGTTTTGTTCAGAATTGTGTTACTTTCTGAACAGTTCTCCCACTTCTTCATTGTAATCTTTTAACAAGGAAAAGTCCTTTCTTGCATCTACAGGTGGTAGAAGCTAATGGGATTGCCAACACTTCTGAATGGTCTCTGCTGTCTGTTCAAGGAACCGGTGTTCATCTGTGACACACCTGCTAAAAATCAGGTTTTAGCCAAACAAGATATGGAATACATATGTATTGTAAAATGAGACCACAAAGTATGCGACATTCTCCGAATAAATGTGACATATTGAGCGGCATAATTTAGATTGTTTACACCCCTTGACAAGGGGGGAGGGGGGAAGCTGTAGCTGCAGGCATTGCAGGATGCATAAGCCGGCCCAGTTTAGGCTTGTCACAAGGTTATGATGAATAGAATTTTTCCATGCACTAGTAAAAAAGGTAAAGTTGTCCCTGTGTTTAATTAAGTACTAATGCCACGAAGGCATATGGGGGAATGGCTGTATAGACCCATGTTTTCTTGATTTCGGCATACCCTGGCTGCTTTACCCCCAGGGATAGAGCTCCCAGTACCCACTGGATAGGAGGCTGGGTGGGCCCCAGAACCGGTCTGGACAACGTGGAGAAGTGAAAAATCTTGCCCCCACGGGACTCGAACCTTGACCCCTTGGTCATCCAGTCCATAGCCAGTCACTACCGACTGGCATGCACTAGTGCCCAAGGAAATAATTTGGCCTTGCTTTTCTAGGATTCAGGTGATCTTGGTAACTATATTGCATTTCTCTGTTTATGGGCAGATTCAGAGACAGTGAAGTTTAAAACGTGGTAGAAAATAAAATGGCAACAGCATGAAATACTTTGACTTCATGACAATATCTAATGAACCACTGCAGAAGGATGTTTGAAATTTTTGTGGGGGAATTGTACAAATAAATTATTTGAGTCTGTTTCTGTGTTCACTTTGGAGTTAAGAGTTTCACTCCTAGGCATCCAATTTAAATTACTGTTCTGAGGTAGATCATATTCATATCTACAATTTCCATGTAGGAGTTTTGTTGTTTTTGAATTACCAACTGTATCACTAGCACTATTTGAAATTATGTTCCAAATAAATGTAAATGAAAATGACCCATTAGAGGTATTCCTTGTTATATGTGAGTTTGAAGAGTGTAATTTCATTTTAATGCACTCAACTAATTTAGACCACTTTCCATTTATAGCACTTTAATGCAAACTGATTTCTGGCTTATTGTGAGAGGTGGGGAGGAGGAGGGGTCACATATTGTGTGGCTGACAGATAAGGAACGTGAGAGGAGAAAGGTAAATTATATTTGGTTTATGTGATTTCTTATTACACATGTCACCCAAATTGAGAACCTGTTTTAGATTGGGAAAAGTGTAGTCTACTTGTTCATTTTCAGCTCCACATGCAGGCCTGTTAATGCAACTACTGCACATATCTCAGTAGTTTTTTAATAGAAAACTGGGTTTGTTACAGAAGTGCTGTAGGTTAGTCATTGCTGTTTAGGTTGATGTCTCAACAATAGAACCTGTAGCTGCTTTCTGCAGTTCAGATGAAGAGACAGAAGATATAGGAGCACTCCAGTTTCTGCCAATTGCTCCTGAAGTGGAGGACCCAGAGGAAGGATGGGGTGCCCCACCAGGAACAGCACCTCCTATTGACATGCAACAAGAAGACAAGCAGCAGCGCAACAGTAGCTCCAAGGAAAACAATTCTCCTGCACCAAAAAGACGGAAATTTCGATCTTTTGAGATTCAACTCCAGGGTGCCCCTACTGATGGTTAGTATTACAGAAACAAAGCTTCATATTTTAAAAAAAAAAAAAAAAAAAAAAAAAAAAAAAAAAAAAAAAAAAAAAANACAAAGAATTTGTTCCCATAAAGGGAGGGAATTTAGTGACCAGTTGGATGACGACATGCTCAGGATATAATGAGAATTGCAGCAAATGGCTGCAGTAAGTCTATATTTCTTCTATGAACGTAACCAGGTTCAGGCACATCTTATTACAAGGGAAAAAGGAATTAAAATATAGACTGTCATTTACTACTAAAAGGAAAATAAAAACTCCATGGTTTTAGTCCGCAAGCGAACTATATTGACCAAGTGACCGCTGCTTGTCAGCAAAGTTAGTGCCAACTTTAGTGGATAGAGGGTGTCGCATGATCAGCGCAACGAATCCCCACAGACATTAATTTCGGTTTTCTAGACTGGAGCTGCTACTTCATTGAAATAGCTCCTCAGTTATCCTCATGAGGCTGTGTTGACCCCGTTACAGACCCATTGCAGATTATCTAGTCTCCATTTTGTAGCTTTACTTTCTATGCACTCACACACTCTTGATACTATCATAATTACAAGTTTTAAAGTGTATTACTCTTCATTTTCATAATGGATGTGAATTTAATGAGAGCAAAGAATTTATGCAATACAAAAACTTTTTTCTTGCTGTAAAATGAAACATGTTCTTTTCTCTTTCTTTATGGGCGAAGTGTGCAAATGTTTCTTATTTGTTCTGGAGGACAGTGCTTTAGAATATTTCAGTAAAGCAAAACATATGATAAACTACAGTGGACCCTCCATTTAATATTCCTTCATTTAAGGGTTTCTGTTATTTAACATTCAATTTCAATGGTCCTGAGCCCATATTCTCAATATTAAATTACCGCCATTTAAGATTTTCCTCAGTTTAGTGTTAAAACCCAGTGGTCCCAAAAGAATCCTCAAATGGGGGATTTTTAGTTTTAATTTGAGGAAAGGACCCCGACTTTGTGATGAGTATGAAAGCCCCTACAAGGCGTGGAAATTAAATCACACCAATAACAATCATGAAAGATGTGTTTTGTGCATCTTATATAAATCCGTGATACTAGCTCATTTGATTTTGTTTCAGAACTTCATCCACTACTGAACAACAGGGCCAAAGATAAACAACAATCTGGAGGGAAAAAAGCTGCTGGCAGGCCACGGACTGACGAAAGAAAACGAACTAAATGAACTAAACCCATATACATATATATGCTTTATTATCCTAGATGAATGACGTTGTGGAAGACAAAGTTCTGTCCTGCTGTGGTGTCATGAAGAAGCCAGTCCATAATGTTTATAATATTAGTACAAGGCAGTACAGTGTGTGATATGGTGGAAATTTGATGGCGTGTTAGCTGTGTATGAAACTTTCAATGAATTTTAGAAAGTAATGACAAAATAGCAAGTTATATTGACAAGGTCTTTAAATTTATTCATTTAATAAACTTCTTAAATGTTTCTAAATATTCAACAGCTTTCTAATAAAATTATCCAATAATGAAACCACATCCAAGTCTGAACTGACTCTTGTTGTGATTCATGCTGCCACTCAGTGCAAAGGAAAATGGCAATGGCTGAAGTTTCTTCTCAAGGACGGCTCCCACTGTGAAACTTGAGTCTACCATTCCTGCAATTACAACAAGGTTTATACTATTTGCTGTCAAGACTATCAATTAACATTTTTTCTCCTGAAGTTAGCAGTTCACAAAGACATAGAGTACCCTTTGTCTCACCATTTACAGTACTGTGTTATCATAAACAGTGGTCAGATACTGAGTCTGGATTAGTACAAATCCAGTATCACTGAAAACTCAGTGTGACTGTTAATCTTTACAGTTTGGGCCATATACTGCATCCCATGTGATTTTAAAAAGGCACATGCTTTTATTTGGGGGTGGTAAAAGGCCACATAACTGATGATATAAAATCTGTTATGGGACGAAGTGCATACTAATATCTCATAGTTCCAGGCAGCATTATGAGTCAGCTACATAAGTGTCAAACACAGTGAACAGGCCCTTCAGAGATTATTTCCAGCAAAAGGGCAATTACTGGTTACTGGCTAGTTTTCCTTTTCTGTAGGTTTACTTAATAGTGCATTCAGTATCAGTTTCAGATGGTAGGATGATAAGACTAGTGATGAACTGGAAATGATTTGAAAGGAAACAGTCATGGCCTAAGGTGATATCCCAGGATCTTCATGAAGGACTGACAAAAAACAACAGAAATCTCAGGTTAGCTCATGTCCCAGCCAATATTTGAACCAAGCACATCCTGAATACAAGTCCAGTGGCTCAAGACCAACCCATTTTGGTGTTACTGGCTAGAGATTATCCACTGACTCCAACCACAAAAATTATGAAATTTCAATTGTCCCAATGGGGTGAAAACATTTAAACATCTGGAGATGTATATCAAATGAATCAATTATCAATGGATTAAAAAAAATGTTGCATTTCCAATATCTTGCATAGCAGTGAGGATGACATTCTGTGGGAGGAAAAGTCATTCTCAAAGACAGAAACTGAAATACCATTGATACAGTAATACAGAATTAACACAACAAAATATACAGTAATTTGTATGATCTGTATTAGCTATTACAACTTTTTGTGTGTTATCCTGCATTTATCTTACTGATGATTACTCTTCCAAATTCTGTAATAACCTACATTTAATTTTTCCCTAAAGATGATTCATCTTAAATCTGACGGTGGTGTGTATTTGAGCATGTACGGGGTGTGTTCAAAAAATGACGGGAATTTCCGTATTTTGGAAAAAATATTTATTCATTCGTCTACATTAATGTTGTCGCCTTCAAAATAGTCCCCATTCGATATTATGCACTTACGCCAGCGCTTCTTCCAATCATCGAAACACTTCTCAAACTCGATTTTTGGGATAGCCTTTAGCTCTTTCAGCGATGCGCTTTTAATGTCATCTATGCTTGTAAAACGACGGCCCTTTAAGGTTCTCTTTATTTTTGGAAATAGGAAAAAGTCACACGGAGCCATGTCTGGCGAATATGGAGGCTGGGGCATCGTTACAGTATTGTTTTTGGCCAAGAATTCACGAACAAGCAACGAAGTGTGAGCAGGTGCATTATCGTGGTGCAAAAGCCATGAATTGTTTTTCCACAAATCCGGGCGTTTTTTTCGGATTGCCTCACGCAAACGGCGTTGAACTTTCAGGTAGTACTCCTTATTGACCGTTTGACCTTGAGGCAAGAATTCATGATGCACTATGCCATTAAAATTGAAGAACACAGTAAGCATAACCTTCACGTTCGAACGCACTTGTCGAGCCTTTTTCGGTCTTGGCGATCCAGGATGCTTCCACTGAGACGATTGAGCCTTAGTTTCAACGTCATATCCGTAAACCCATGTTTCGTCACCTGTTATAACACGTTTCAGTAATTCTGCATCATCGTTGACTTCCTTTAGTGATTCCTGAGCAACTTCCATTCGCCGCTGTTTTTGTTCAAAATTCAGCAATTTTGGAACAAATTTTGCTGCCACGCGTTTCATACCCAAAACATTCGAAAAAATTTCATGGCATGAGCCAATCGATATGCCAACATCATCAGCGACTTCTCTGATTGTGATTCGGCGATCATTCATAATCATTGCTTTCACTTTTTCCACGTTTTCATCGGTTGTTGATGTGCTGGGGCGTCCGGGGCGCTCGTCATCTGCAACGTCTTCACGGCCATCTTGGAAACGCTTATACCACTCGTAAACTCTTGTTTTACTCATAACAGACTCACCATAGGCCTTTGTTAACATTTCACACACTTTGTAACACTTTATTTCATTTTTTACGCAAAATTTGATACAAATTCTTTGATCCATTTCTTTTAACAAACGAAAATCGCCAAGCTCATAAAAACACGTCTAACCTTAGCGGCTGCCACAGACAAAGTAAGCAATGAATACAGCTGAAAATTTTATTGTACTTCAGGGGCATGTATACCAACATAATAAAAAAAAAATTTTGACAATTGGACTCTCCAAACCCGCGAAATTTTAAAATTCCCGTTATTTCCTGAACACACTTCGTATGGTATTCTTTTTTTAACCTTTCTGTCATATTAGTGTATCATCTGGGGGGAGGAGGTATAATATTGCCACCTGACTGTGACTATAGATGGGATTTGGATTGATAATTGGATTTATTGACCTCTTACAGATCATAACTAAAAGTAACTGTAAGAGCCTCACTGGTTTACACACTCTAAAGATCACTGTAACTGCAGCATACATAGTCTTCTATGTCTTTTCTAGTTGTCTCCTGGTAACGGATCTTAATGCTGTCCTCAGTTTATGTTGTTATTGTGTAGCACATATACCACAACTGAACTATGCTCTAAACTTCATCCCACTTATCACCCCTTGGCACAGACCAACAGAAAACACAGCTCTTCTATTGTTGCATGTGTGTATGCTAGGGTTTCCACCTGACTGCTGCTCAGCCAGACCACTGGCATACTTTTAGCAATGGCTGTTTTGTTTCACAGTTTTTGCCTAGCAATGGATCTATACACCACTGTATTCAAGTGGTATCTTGCAACAACAAAACCTAAAAGCTTACATTTGTTGTAGCAATAATGACTGTATATTTATGACTATTTTATTTTTAATGCAGTAGCAGTGATAGGCCAAGATGATCCTATTACACAGGTCACTGATTTTGGTGAGCTGCATACAGTGCACTTAAATTTTATGGATATGCACACAAATTAAGCTACTCTTAACAATTTAAAATGTTCTGTTCTTATTAACTCTAATTTTGATCTTCATGTAACATTAAGGTTATTCCTGTTCAGTGAAATTTGGTCAAATTTAAGTGAATTCACTTACCTCGGAAGCACAGGTCAGCTTTAGGTAGTTCAACTTGATAACCTAGAGTTGCAACTGATTCCTGCATCCTGAAATTTGTGTCAAGCTCAACTCCAAGCTGCAGCTGCTCACTTGCTCGTTGATAGTAGCAGAGGTGCAACCCACATCCTCCTAACGTCCCGCTCACAACAGCGTCTGTCCCTAATGGTAGTAAAGATTAGAGTTATTCCATACCAAATCAACAAATGCATGGTGGCTTCTAAAACTTGGTCTGCTTATAGGCTGTTATCACCTACCTGCAAAATAATGACTAATACCTGTCATTTCAAAGACGTAGAATGCTGAAGCTTATGATTTGAGGGTAGTAGTAACATCAATATATTCAGAAAGTTATTTGTATTTCCGAAACTAATAGGCATTATTATGAAAGTTGTTTCATATCGGATACAAGAAGCTATCGAACGGTTTGATAGAATCTGTTGTATTGTGATTTTTTCAAAATACAGAAGGGAAACTTCTTGGGTAAAGAAAAACACAATGGAAATCTGAAGAATTAACATTTACTATGCTTACTAAACACCATATGAATTTCAGCTTCTTTTTCCAACCCATGTCTGAGCTGTGCACAATTCAAAGAAAAGAAATTTTTATATTATGAACAGAAGGGAAGTTTGATCTGAATGAGATAAAGGAAAATACCTTCCCAAGTTGGCTAGTCTACAAAATCTCTTGGTTGAAATAAGCTGACATTTATCAGTATCCTCTTGCTCACAATGACCCCTTTAAATAGAGGGAGGTGGAGGGGGGACTATAAAAAATGCAGCAATGCAAAAATTAACCCTTCCTAGTCATAACAGTATACCAGTGATGGTACATAATACACTAACTTCATGAAGCTCAGGCCTTCTTGAGAAGCTGCCAATTGTGCAGCTACTCAAGAAGTTCCCAGTATTTTATGGAACCTGATGGTTCATTACTGCGTTCACAAGAGCCCTCCACTGGTCCCTATCCTGAGCCAGACCGATCCAGTCCATACCACCCAATCCTATCTCTCTAAGATCCATTTTAATATTGTCCACCCATCTACATTGTTGGTCCTCATAGGGGTCTCTTTCCTTCTGGCTTTCCCACCAATATCCTATAAGCATTCATTTTCTCTCTCATGCATTCAGCTACTCAAGAATTTCCCAACATTGTATGGAACCTGAAGGTTCATTATCATGTTCACAAGAGCCCTTCACTGGTCCCTATCCTAAGCTGGATCAATCCAGTCCATACCACCCCATCGTATCCCTCTCAGATCCATTTTAATATTATCCAACCACCAATGTCTTGGTCTTCCTACTGGCCCCTTTTCTTCTAGCTTACCCACCAATATCCTGTATGCAGTCCCCTTCTCCCTCATTCATGCTACATGCCCTACCCATCTCATCCTCATTGACTGGATCATTCCAGTCATACTAGGTGAAGAGTACAAGTTATGAAGCTCCTCACTATGCAGTTTTCTCTAACCTTCTGTCAGCTCATCCCTCTTTGGTCCAAATATTCTTGGCACCCTGTTCTCAAACAGGGACACTGTCTCTAAAGCAGTAAAATAAACTATAATGCAGCAAGATAGTACACATTCCATGTGCACTGCATACATGTCCTGAGTATATATCCAGGATGGCAATGTAAGGTCTTATCCTAAAAAGTTAAGAACTAGAAACTGAATGACAAAGTCCATAAAAATTAAACATAAAATTCTACCTGTATATCGAGCGGCAGCTGAAAGAAGAGCAATTTCACCACCAGGAACAGTAGGGCCATACTGATAGACCAGCTCAGCTCCTAAAGCAATGCTTGGTGTAACAGACTGGAGGTAATGTGTAACAAGAAGACCTGTGATTCAAAATAATGATAATGGAACTCGATTTACACACCAACAAGATGTCAACATAATATTTTAATTGGAACACAAAATTTCTGTCATATTTTTCTGCACTGATGAAATTTGCATCATAAAAATTTATCTAAAAAGGTGCCCTTAGGGCAGACCTTTTTATTTAAATTGCTTAACGTACAAAAACAATGGAGCGATGACATGTGGTATGACAAAAATGCAGTCACTTCCAATTTTGCTGATGGTGGTAAGGTTGTCAGCCTTACGAGCCGACCGTGCTTTACTCCCCAGGAAAATTATTTAATTAATTCCTGGTACTCATTTCTGTTAGAGGCTGAGTAAACCCCAGGGCCTAGTGCGGCTGGAAGGATTAGGTCAACTGAAAAAAAAAATCCAATGACCTCATCAGGACTTGAACCCGCGACCTTCCGGCTTGCAGCATAGCCTCTCAACCACTACGCTACCGCATACACTCATACGCATGAAAATATTATAACCGGGCAACACTGACAGCAATGAAACTAATTATATCCAAATGAATGTATAATCTCTATGGTAAAACAGATTAATATCAAATCCTCAGTGTTATCAGTGTCTTCAGTACCAAGAAGATGAATAAAAAGTTGGAGTTAGATTTTGTGGGATTTATCAAGTACACTGACATTAAAAACATGAATATAATATTTCTAGTGTATCTACAACTATACATCAGCAAACCTATAATTACCACACACGTATTACAAATTACACAGTTACTTTTGTTAACATATGAAAGTAAAAGCTAATATGCAATGTACGCAGGTCTTACTTCATTCTCACTTTTACTCAAGAAAAACTAATCTCATGTGTAAAAATGTCTCTGGATCTTTGGGGATCACATAAGAGTTCTATGCTCTACCATGAGTACTATTTCTATACCACAACAGACCTAGTACAACATTATATAACTTGTGTGCAAATACTGACAACCTGATGGACAATACCACCAAGAATTAATGCACAGCAGTTCAGCTTGGTGTGATGGGATTAACTACTGCTTCAACAATGTGAATCCTATATATTTTTTTGTCAATGGCTCTTCCAGCCCATTCAGGGCCCAGGCGTCTTATTCAATTCTGTAATCATTTTTCAGATGGTAAGGCTCCTTGGATGAGTGATCAGCCCATCGCAAGGCCGCTACCTAAACACAGGACAAGACAGACACAGAATAAACGCATACACATACCAAACATCCATGCCCTGAGTGGGATTCAAACCCACGATCCGAGCGTCCGAAGACAGTTCATGCCTTAGACCACACGGCGACTGTGACCTGATGAATCATATATATACATAAACAGTACTTGTTTCAGAAAATATATACAGATCCTGATTGTTCAGTTATGTTCAGCATACCTGATTCATTGATAATATCTGTATTTCCTGCAGTTAAGGACACAGTATAATCATTTCCTTTATAGTCAGTGGTAAACTGAGCTGCTGTGAATTTGCTATTTTGAATCTGTGTTACAAATTTGGTTTTAATTCGTTGCCCAAACTGGTGAATAATGTGAGCATTCAAATTGCCATTAGGATCAATATCTCCCAACAACACTGGAAAAGCTTCATTTGGAGAAATCTGTTTTGTTCCAACATACGTTGCTCCAAATCGATAACCAGATGGTGTCATGGAACTCATGTTGATTGTATGTGAAACTTGGAAATGGTTACTCAGACCTTTGTTAATCATTAACTTTGCACCTTCAAATACAACAGGGAACACATCTGAAAAAGATCAATAATTAATATTTCATTGAATATCAACAGAGAAGTCACATTTTATTAGGCTGCTGAAATCCAAGTAATATACACCCATTAATGACACAAAATATTATGGAATTCTAGAAAATTTGTGTTATTTAAAAGTAATGATGCATATATGAGTATTCTGGTTAAGTGATGCCATGAGATATTCCTTAACCCTTTGACGTGGTCATTTAAATTCCGCGGCCGCGGCTCCTGCGGTAATATATTCAGCCGGCCATTTAAATTTTGCTCGAAAATTATTTATTCATCATTGTTCTTAAATTCTATGAGATAGGAACATGAAACTTTCACTAAAATGATCTTAAATTGTGGTTTTATAACCTTACCTTATAATATGGGAGCCCTGTATCTCGGCCATGGGTGCAGGTTGTTTAGTATTTGAGCAGTGAATGGTACGCCTTGAAGGATGAAACTTTCACTAAAATGATCTTAAAAGATGGTTTTATAACCTTGCCTTATAATATGAGCACCCGGTATCTCGG